CCTTCACAGCAAGTGTCTGTCTGTGACTGCGATCTCACCTAGAGGAAGCTACAACCATGTGTCAGAGCAGGGAAGATGGCCATGGGTCGTGTTCGTCACCCGATGCGGAGTTCGTGAACGGAAGCAAAATTTTGCAAATGCTGCTGTTCGCGAACTGAATTGTTTGTGAACAGAAGCGTTCGTGAACTGAGGTATTACTGTACCTGTGAATCCTGCCATTTGCTCTAATGGTTGTGGGGAGAAATGCTGGGCAAAGCAGCTTAGCATTTGATGAAGACAAATGTTCTTGTGAAATTATCCACTTGAAATCAGGCCCATTCAAAAGCTATCATCTATTGGTGAGTATTATGAGTATTGCTTATGTGACATGGGTGGAACCGATGGGGCATAGGGCGTAGGATTTCCTCTGCTGAAATTTTCAAGGCTTTGTAACTGCATTTAAGGTAGCTGGAACCAAGATTGGAACCATATGAACCATCTCCTTCTGTCATAATTATGAAGGGGATAATATGTCCTATCCTGAAGTTGATGAGGCAAAGTGATCAAGACTTTTTTTTTTAAGCTGGGTGCAGTCCTATAAAAAGGAAGATGTTTGCCCAAGCTCTTCTTGTCTGTTTTATCTCTCCGCAGCCTTTGTTTGCTCAAATCATTGCAGAGTTTCTTACAACCTGAGTATCAACTGCTGCTTAAGAGATGTTTACCCAACCCTCCCTTTTCAGTGAGCATTTACTCATTTACTTGTCTTCTTACTGTAATATGAGATAGAGTCCCTCTGAGAGAGATAAAGTCTTGTTGGATGAAAAAAGAGGACATTTTCACAGAGAAGGCACTCCCGAAGTGTGTTTTTATCACTTAATGCCTCATGTAATCATAGGAACCTCAGGGGTTGTATATTGGCTGCTTAAAACAAAGGAACTATTTCTCTTCCAGTTTTCCCATAGCTTGTTGATCGCCTGGAAGGTATTTTTCCTTAATGCAGGTGACTAGACTGGACTTTCCCCAGAGTTACTCTTCCAGATAAACTAGAGTTCAGCTTCCATAATCCCACTGAACACTAGGGAGACGCTCCAAGAGATGTCAGACTGGGGAATATTGATGTACAATTTACTGGAAGGGAGGAAACCTAACTTGTTTCTTTGGGAAAGATTTCAGGTCATGGAGACTGAGCTCTACAAAATGGCCTGAACAGAGTAAATTCACATGCTCCACAAAGTCGTTTTCTGTTCCTCACAGGAAATGGCTCTTCAAAGCAAAACAAAATGAGATCTGAAGACTAGTACTGTATTATTTTCACCTTTTGGAAAAAGCAATGCCAAGAGTATAAAACTAAAGCCAGCAGAACCCTGGCGATAAATTCATGATTACCCGCATACTTAGAAAAAAAATGCAATTATAAAATGAAATAAACATCCATATTCTCAGATATGTCTCATTTGTTCCAGTGGGGCTGCAGAGGAGAAAAAGTATCTATTTTAGTCCAGGGAGAAATATAGATAAGAAATGCTTTAATTCCATTATGTTAAGGATTGATTTATTTGTAGTAAAAGTTGGGATGAATCACTTTGAGATGTTGAAACTTTCTGCCTCAAATATACCCAGCACACAAATGAATCTGAGGGATTTGCAGAGCGAGAGAGAAGCTGTTGCACGATTCAAAAGTAGCAGTCTGTGCTGACGCCGCTCACAATTTGATCCACTTGAAAGATCCAGAAACCTGGGCTGTTCACATTGCTCGTTTCTGCAATATTGATAATATCAGAAGTGCGGGATCCAGGCATGATATAGTAGTTTACTTTGTCTCCATTGTCAAATCCAGCCTGAAGCAGAAGCAAAAGAAGGAAATAATCGATACCAAATTATAACGCCGATTACATGGTGTTTATTGGTGCTAATGTGATCACTGAATCTCCTTACTCGCTTGAATTTGATTTTAATTGGTAAAAAAATTAAATAAACATACACAAGAAGCTAGAGAGCCAATTTGGCCTAGTGGTGAAGGCACCAGGCTTGAAACAGGGAGACAGTGAGTCCTAGTCCCACCTAGGCACGAAGCCAGTTGGATGACCTCGGGCCAGTCCCTCTCTCTCAGCCCTAGGAAGACAGCAAGGGCAAACCACTTCTGAAACCTTGGCAAGAAAACTGCAGGGACTTTGAGCCAATACTGACTCGAAGGGACACACACACACACACACACACACACACCACAAGAAGCTAGCATGCAGAAACCCAAAGCAACAGCTTTTAGGATGGTCTCTACTTTCCAAGAATGCCTCTGTACCCTGCATGGGTCCCTGGAAGAAATTCCAGTCCAGTTCTTTATTGGGAAGGAAAATTGTGATGGCAAGGAACAGACAAACCTACTGTGGCCACTATCTTGTCAGAGCATCCACCCCAAAACTGAAGTAAATCCAACCCCCCCCCCACCCCCCCCCAACCCACCCACCTTCCCCCTCAACAAGA